CAGGAGTGAAGAATGAAAAGCATGTTGGGTGATAATGAGTTGAATTTTAGTGATATTGATTCAAGACTTATCAGTAGAGAAATTTAAGTAGTGTGAATATTTATTATTATTATTATTATCTATTAATTTTGAGTCAGGGTCTCACTGCACCCTACACATCCCAAGCTGACCTTGAACTCATGGTTCTCCATCCTTGGCCTCCGAAGTACTAGAGTTACAGATGTGTGTATTGTGTCTAATGTTGTGTGATTTTTAAAAATATAGTTTAATATAATAATAATATGCCATAGTATATTATATACAATATGATATATGATATGATATTGAACAAGAGCTTGAGAGAGGGAAAGAGAGAGAGAGAGAGGGAAAGAGGTGCTGATAGTAGGACATGGTAATACTTTCTCTTCCTGAATTTTGTATCTTGATTGGTAGACCACTGTGATATTTATCATAACTTTTCCACAATCCTGTATTCCACATTAAAGCAGCCATTAAATTCTGAAATTTAGTTTTTCTTCCTTTCTGTCATTAGTGTCTTGGACCCAACTCTCACTATCATCTTGAATGACTGAGACTGGCCAGTATCTGTTTTCCTAATATTCATCTCCGTTTCAGCTCGCTCGCTCTCTCTCTCTCTCTCTCTCTCTCTCTCTCTCTTTCTCTCTTTTCTGGAATGTATATCTGTTAATTTAAAAGTCACCCTCTTGGTTTCTGTTGCTTCCATGGAAACAAGCACACACAATCATATGAACACTTCTGAGGTCTACTTCTTTTTCAGTCTCCTTCTGACCTTTAATATTTACAGTTACTTAATGGTCTATTCTACACTGGTTTCCTAGGCCTTTGAATTACACTCTAAAGGGCCTCCTATGTCATGTTTCCACTCTGAAATTTTGTCATGAAAGCAGAGTAAATGCCATTTGCTCTGTGTTGATCTGCACTCTGTGCAGAGCGTATCTATAGCAACAGCCATGCTTAGTCTAGTCCTTTGTATGTAGTTCTTCAAGACCAAGTTTACATATCATAGAATTAGCTACAAGAATTAGCTTCTAGGAGAGTCTGAGTTGTACCTTCATGTTTAGTTGTAAAAGGTTGCTAGACATTTATTTCTTGAACAGACCATCTGGTTAATGGTCACTTACCTCTCTGTGTTGGAGGAAGCTGTCCCGGAGACAACAGCTGTGCTCTCTTCTTGGAGCTTCTAAAGTCCAGCCATTTCCTATTGGCGAAAAAAAATAGTATTTCTTGGCAACTCAATTTCTGAAAAGGCTGGTAAGAAATGCTACAATTCTGTTACTTTTTTTAAATATTTATTTATTTATTATGTATACAACATTCTGTCTGTATGCCTGAAGGCCAGAAGAGGGTGCCAGACCTCTTTACAGATGGTTGTGAGCCACCATGTGGTTGCTGGGAATTGAACTCAGGACCTTTGGAAGAGCAGGCAATGCTCTTAACCACTGAGCCATCTCTTCAGCCCCTACAATTCTGTTACTTATATGGGATGATGGGAATTTTTATTTTTACTTTTTCTTAGGAATAACGAAAGCAAGAAAAACATGGACTTACTGTGAATAAACATATGCAAAGACTGGATAGATGGGTACTTGATTGATGTGTGTGTGTGTGTGTTAAATGGGATCTCTGGTCCCTCTTATCTCTCCATATGTTTATACTAAACTATAATAAAGAAAATACATGCATTAAATTAAAAGTACTGCTAGAGGTACAGCCATTAGCTCCCCTACTTTAGTGTAGTAAACTCATTTCCCCATAAGACTTGCTTATGAGACACAAAAAGCCAACTGTCTATTGCATGGAAGAAATGAAAATCAAGAGAACGATTGCACTCAGTGGTAATGAATTATTCAAGATTGTTTGTATCAGTGCCTGGCTTGGTGTGGGTGGAGGCAGGGGATAACAAACTGAGTGTTCCAAACCATTGCAGCTGCTCTGTACCAAGAGGGTAGTTCAAATGGGGTCTGTGGCCCCTTCTCTCATGTTCAATTCATAAAGTGTTAACATTTTATAAATAGGGATTTATGGCATTTTGCAAGAGAATACTACAATATTAAGGGGAGCACATCATGACCATAATGTAGCAATAATTACGGCAATATGGATGCACAGTTTTACGGCACTTGGGTTTGTAATGGGTTGTCATATGCTGCATTTCATTTAAGCCATATGAACTGGTTTGTAGTTATAATTACTGAACACATTTAGAGAGCATTTTGCCTGTGCAATGGTGGAGCTGGTTGAAATCAGTGTTCTCTGCCTCTCCTTTGAAGTTGTCTGCCCTCAGGAAATGTTCTGGGCATGAGGTTCTAATTTTGCTGCGTCATCAGAATGAGATGCATTTTCAGGGTACTAGACTGACCACCCACTTCTTTCTTAGGGAGAGATTTCTCTCTAGTGGTTTATTATGTATCATAGGCTGTGAAACAGGAGAGAATTCCAGGTAGCCAGACATGGTTACTCAATGTCTTCATCGTTGGTGAGAGTAGTTATCAGAGGCAGGCTGTGAGGGAGAAGCAGGCTGGATGTCTGGATCCATTCATTTCTCCTTATGCCACGTCAGGCTTGATTGACTAAAAAGAAGGTTGAGAAAAGCATTAGTGTATCAGTGAGTTTACTTTCAGCCAGATGCCTGAAAACTGCTGGTTGAGAGTGTTACATGCTCTCTCCTTTAGGTTAGTTGTTTCCAGTGGAGTTGTTGTTAAGTCTATATCCTGTGAATGTCCAGTCACGAACATGAGCACAAACAGGCTCCTGCGTGAGGGTGTCAAGTCAACATACCTTGTTTCATTTGCCTTCCTTTCTTTCTGTTCCTCTTTTATTGGAGAAATTTCAGTTTTTAAATGGCAGTATTCAGGCATTTATGACCCTGCGTTCCTCTTTGCCATCTCTAAAGCTTAAAACTTCATTCACAGAAACAGATTTTTTTTTTCTCAGTTAGAATTCTACTCTGGTGTTTTGTTTTCCCTTCGTTCATTTTGACTTACAAATGAACTTCTTCCCTCTTGGTTGTAGGCACAGAACATAGATGCTTTGTTCTGTTTTTGTTTCTTTGTCTGAGGCTGTCTGACTGTGCAGCTTAGCTGGCCTTGAATTCAAGGCTCTCCTGCCTCGCCTTTCTTGGCTGTAGATGTGTATCACTATACTTAGCTAATGTTTTTTTCTATGAATAAAAATTACTACTTATTTCAAGTGACATCTTTTAAGTTCAAGCACAAACATCTTTCTCATTCTCCTCTTTCAACAGCCTATAATGACTTCTACATGGTTCTCAGCCCTTGGGGCTAAGGAAAATGTCATTATCTTAGTTTAGGGATTGTTTGTTATGATGGACTATTTCAAAATACATTTTAGTACTTGCAAAATAACAGTTATAAAAGGAAATTTGTTTAATTTTTGTCTCTGTGACCCTCCACTGAAAGTATCAGTGTCTCTGATGGTTTGTGCTTTGGAATACTTCCTTTGACCTTTGTCTATTTCCAAAGTCATTGTGGCACTGAAATTTATTGTGCTGACGCTCTTTCTGAAACCTCTGTGGCTGCTGTATGCCAGTGTGACCGTGGAGTTGTTGGGCAGACCCCGGCGAGCATTAGGGTCTTGCAGGAGTTAGACTTTTCCAACGAGCACTATGAGTATGCATCACTGAGGCTGGGGCCTGGGCATCTGGAGTTCTAACTTTTAGATGATCCTAAAACTTCATTTTTGAGAAAGCCTGAGTCATTGAGTCAGTTTATTTCGAAGAGAATTCTGTGGCATTCCTCCTACAGGTACGAGGCATTCTAAATATGCTTAAAAACTATAATATGGTCAAGGCCTGAGGCCAGAGGATGGCAACATCAAGGCCTATCTGGGCTACAGAGTGAGCTCAAGTTCAGTTTGAGCAACTTAGTGGGACCCTGTCTCAAAGTAAAAGTGAAAAGAAGATACACACACACACACACACACACACACACACACACACACCAGTGGGAGAGTGCTCCAAGTTCAATACCCAGTACATAACAACAATTGAACAAAACACCAACACAGACAAAAAGCTGTGTTGCCGGTGTTTATGAACTCTTTGACACTGTAGAATCAATAATGATACACGTGATGTTGTCCATGTAATTTAATGCAATGCTTTCTTTGCTGGAGTTTATTAGTGTGGTGCATTCTATGTTAACATGTCATTTTCAACATGATCTTTTCCAAGAATCTCCCTCTTAATAGGAACAATAAGAAAAACTTAAATTGCAATATTTTTCTAGTGTTAATTTCTTATTTGTTTCTTTTAAAATTTATGTGCATTGGTGTTTTGCCATGGTGTTGGGTCCCATTGAAATGGAGTGACAGACAGTTGTGAGCTGCCTTGTAGGTGCTGGGAATTGAACTCTGGTCCTCTGGAAGAGCAGTTAGAGCTTCTAACCACTGACTCATCTTTCCAGTTCCCGCTAGTGTTAATTTCTACGACATAATAATTGCTTCCATTTGAGACCACATTTTGTGGGTCTTTTTATTTATTTATTTTTTGTGGGTCTTTTTATTGGTGGAAAATTTGAGGATATTTAGAAAATTTAGTTTAATTCACCCTCTTCATTATGGCCAGCATTTTATGGCACTAATATTGATGTTGAAGCCAGAGCCAATACTGGTTTTGCAGAAGATCTGGCATTAATTTCAGCATCAGGCCATTTTTAAAATTAATGCAGTTTCTCTGAAAGTGAAAGTGAACAGGCAACACGCAGACACTTAGGCAAGTCTTTATTAATCCTACCTAGGTAAATGAGTGGCGTTTTTTAGTGAGGAAATTATGCAATAACAGATCAGCTGCTAACACATGTTTTCTCTTTGAACTTCGCAAATACCTCTTTCATAGATGGGACTAGTGTTCTTGAGACAAAGAAGGAACACATTGAAAGATTGGAGATTAAAAGAATTACCCTAGAGCCCAATTTAAAATTCCATTATGCCTTCATCTATGATTTCTTGTTTGTTTTCAGGGACTTTCTTCCTCGAGGCTCAGGCATCGTGACCCGACGACCTCTTGTGCTTCAGCTTGTCACGTCTAAAGCAGGTAATTAAGTAGTAAATATGTTTACTGTGTGATGTGCACACCCCATGGCAACTGTCATTTTTATTCGTGGGCACTGGATGTGTCAACAAACCCACTTCTACAGCTGCTCTGGTATGGGCAGCCGTCTGCATTTCTCTCAAGAATGCTTTCCTGTCCATTGTTCTTTTGATTGCATTGAAGATGCATACTTACATGCATATAGATTTTTAGCACAATTTTCTTAGGCCAAGAAGATATTTGCTTATTGTAATTCATCTCTGAAAGTTTATATTATCATGAACACTCCTTTTGTGTATACTCTTTCTGCATGTGTGTATATTATATGTGTGACTATTCTGCCATAAAAATTAAAGATTTAAGGAACTAGAGAGCTAGCTCAGTGGTTAAGAGCACTTCCTCCTCTTTCAGGGGACCTGAGTTTAGTTCCCAGCACCCTCATCATGTGGCTCCAATCACCTGTACGTTTATATCCAGAGGATTCAATATCTCTTCTGGTCTTTGTGGACACTGTACTCGCATGTACATACTCATACATGCATATAATTAAACTTAGAATATTATGTAATGGTCCAACTTCAGGTTCTACTCATAGACAACCAATGACTGCACATCATCTGTCTACAAGATTATTCTTGGTGCCTCATGTGTTCTTAAAATCCTTGTCAAAATTTTACTGACTGTAGCTATGTGGATTTATATTTGAATTCTCAATTCTAATCAATCGATCACTATTTCTATTCTTGTACCAATACCATGTTGTCTTAAATACCTTTGCTCTATGGTAATATTATTTTTTTTTAAATTTAGAAAGTGGCACTTTTAGTTTGTTCTTTAGTTTCAAGACCATTTTAGCAACCCCGAGTTCTAACTTCTGCCTGTCTATAATCACCTTGTTTTATCCAAGAAATGTGAGATTATTTTTTAACTTCTGAAAATCAATTAATATAATGCATTGTGTTGAAATACTTAAGAAAATCAACAAAATTCACAGTATCGTCTCAGTAGGCTCAGTATTATACATTCATTCAGAAAACTTGTAATAAACTAGGAATTAAGGTGTGCTTTCTTAGCCTAACAGACATATGAAAACCCCTCTGCTAACAATACCCATAAAAAGGAAAGCTAAGGCAATGGTTCTTAACTTTCCTAAATACTGTGACCCCTTTAATACAGTTCCTTATATTTTGGTGACCCCCAACCATAAAATTATTTTCATTGCTACTTCAACACTGGGGCCAATGGGTGTGGAGGTGCAGTGAGTGGAAAGGGCAGCAGGAAATGGAGTCAAGACCCCAGTGCTGCTGCAGTAGTTAAAAAAAGAAAGTAAAAAAAAATGGAGTACAGACCTAAACAGAAAACCCTCAATAGAGGAATCTAAAATGGCTGAAAGACACTTAAGGAAATGTACAACATCCTTAGTCACCACAGAAATGCAAACCAAAACAACTCTGAGATTCCGTCTTACACCTGTTAGAATGGCCAAGATCAAAAACACTGATGACAGCTCATGGAGGAGAGGTTGTAGGGTAAAGAGAACACTCCTGCATTGCTGGTGGGAGTGCCAGCTGGTCCAGCCCCTTTGGATGTCAGTGTGGTGATTTCTCAGGAAATTAAAAAGCAACCTTCTTCAAGACCCAGCAATACCACTTTTGGGTATATATCCAAAGGATGCTCAATCGTGCCACAAGGTCATGTGCTCAATTATGTTCATAGCAGCATTGTTTGTCATACCCAGAACCTGGGAACAACCTAAATGCCCCTTGACTAAAGAATGGATAAGGAGGAAAATGTGGTACATTTATTCAGTGGAGTACTACACAGCAGAAAAAAATAACGACATCTTGAATTTTGCAGGCAAATGGATAGAGCTAGAAAACATCATTTTGAGTGAGGTAACCCAGAAAGACAATTATCACATGTAGTCACTCATAAGTGGATTTTAAACATAAAGCAAAGAAAACCAGCCCACAAATCACAATCCCAGAGAACCTAGACAACAATGAGGACCCTAAGAAAAACATAGATAGATCTAATATACATGGGAAGTAGAAAAAAGACAAGGTCTCCTGAGTAAACTGGGGACCATGGAAGAGGGGAGGGGAGAAGCAGGGAGGAGAGCAGAGAAAAATGTATAGCTCAATAAAAATCAATAAAAAAAGAAGAAAGCCAATGGGGGCAGCAACGTTGTAGACCAGAGGCATGCAAGGAGAACATGACAGGAGGATTAGAGCTTTAAGTGAAGGCCACTGAAATCATGGCAGGAACTTGAGGTTCTCTAGCACTTTATAAGTGTTTTTTATAAAGGACTTAGGAAGAATCATTTCTTTGTAAGATGTGTCAAAAGCAATCTGAGACTCAGGCCCGGGGAGGGTCTTCAATCTAATGCATGCCAACTGCAATTTCCATCTGATCTATTTCCTTTGACCTCCTCCTTCTTTATGAAAATGCTTTTTTCTTGTTATGTATACTGTATATTCAACTCCTCATAATAAAAGGTATCTCATATACTAGCTTTTAATTATTATACTATTTTAATGTCTTGATTTTGCTCTGTGTACGTCTATCGATATCCATGTTAGACTTTAAGGGGGCCATCTATTAGGTGTTAGTGTAGACTCCTAAATAAGCATAAATATAGTTAGTTAGAACATGGGTTTGTATTGATTTACAAGGGTATAATATTGGGTTGGAAAAATTGTTGAGTGGTTAACAGCACTTACTGCTTTTGCAGAAAACCTTGGTTTGGATCTCAGCACCTACCCAGTGGCTCAAAACTCTTTGTAACTCCAGTTCCAGGAGATCTTTTGTTCTGACTACCACAAGTGCCAGACCTGGTGTACACACACACACACACACACACACACACACACACACGAGAAAGAGAGAAAGACAGAAACAGAGACACACAGAGAGAGGGGCATAACACATATACATAAAATAAACAGTCAAAACAAGGATATAATCTAGAAATTTCACCTACATTGCTTAGTATTATTTTAATGTTTTATTTTAATTATGCATATGTACTTATATCCCTGTATGGGTATGTGTTCTCGTGTGGGTACCTGCAGAGTTCAGAGGTGTTGGGTACTACCAAAGCTAGAGTTAAACGCAGTTATTAGCTAACTGATGTAGGTGCTGGGAACTTAATTCGGGCTCTCTGCATGACCTGCAAGAAAGCCAGACATTCATAGAGGAAAATGGATTAACAAGTGTGGTAAATGTTTATGGATTTCTTTTACTCATCTGAAACCTATTTCCTGGGTGGTGCAGAGCTATGTGTCAGACATAGTCCCTATACCAACTACTATAGAGTTCAACAGGAGATAATATGTTTAAATTGAGAATGACTAAGTATTCACAAATGGATATTGAATGAGTTTATCTTGGGCAATTTGGGTGTTTATTTAATCTTTGGGACACTAAGGTGAATGCCTTCAGTGGTTAGCACATCCCTAAATACTTTCTGGATAAGACAATAAGGGAAGGTAAAAACTATGGGGATAACATTAGGAAGTTATTTGACCAAGAAAGACAGGTGTACAAAAACAGTAAAATGGGCAAGAATAAGGGAGGTGGCTATTTAATGATGTGGCCTGGAGCATTGTCCCATAGGGAATGCCAGCCCTTCTCTTCTGTGTGCTGTCCTGACCTTGTACTTGGCTGTCTGTCACAGGATTGATCTTGGCCTATTGTAGAGTGGTGTATCTGTGTCTCATCCTCCTAGGGTGTCTGCTCTTCAATAGCAGAGACCAAGAGTGTGACACCGATATCCTTGTTCCCAGAAGCTACACTTGATGCAGTCTTTGTTTTGCTATCATGCTAATTAGGAAGGAAAATGATTCAGCTGAATGAATTCCTCGCTAATCCACACACATTTCCTATTTCTATGCCAGTGTTGCGTGTTTTTCTAATTATCTCCAGGAATAGTGACTAGTAAGTATGCATATAATAAAGCCGAGTTTCTGTGGCCAAAGAGAAGTCTGCATACATAAACACACACACAGTTTTTGTAGCTTTCATTTTGTTTTTCTTTATATTGGAGGGGATGAGTTATTTGCATATATGTTTTCAGAGATATTCATATTATTAATATGTTTGAATTCAGGCAGGATAAGAAGTTTTCCATGATACACATAGAAGCAGAGGGCTTCTAGCGAAGTTGGCATGGCTGTTTATTACGGTGTTTGATTCCCTCCGGGTAGGATGTTTGAAATGCTGTTCCAATATCCGAAGTCTAGAAAGACAGATTACACATTTAAGATAGAGCAAAACCGAGCAAGCAGTGTCTGAAGTCACCACCTTAAGGTGGAGGCGTAAGGTTCAGCCTGACCTCTGCTGAGCTGTATTTGTTCAGATGGCAGTGTGAAGAGATCTACAACAAACCTTGGGCAAGGAAACGAGCAAAATGAAAAGCTTATACAAACAATACCACTTTAATTATAAAATAATGGCATTAATCTAAGGAGAAATAATAGCAATAGATGTTGGTTGTAAGTTTCATTCTCTCCTGCATTCATTTATTTCCTGGTGGTTTCTCTGAACTCAGAGTTCTGTGTCTTCCTCTTTGAAGGACCACTGAGATCTGGTTGGTTCTCTCCATTTGCTGGGAGATTGACTGACATTCTCTCTGGAATACGTTGGAACAGTTCAAGCTGCCATCTTGCTTGTTTCTTCCAGGAATTGCTCTCTTGCTTTACCTGTTGTCTGTTGTTTGAACATAATTCTCTTTTAAATCTGTTCTTTTTTCTTTTTTGTTTAGGATGAGAGGGTGAATCTTATTTCTGATACTCTTTCATGGCTGGAAGTACAGATGAGGCTGTGTTAACCTTTAGCCCTATTTGTTAATGTCCACATTGGAAATCGCTTGTCTTCTATCTCAGCTCCTAAAAATGTTGCCAGGATCATTTTCAGCATTGCTCTGGTTGTGGTGGCAACAATAACCAAACAGTTAACATCACTAAAGTTTTTGAGCTGTTTCCGGCTCTTCTTTGCGTTCC